CCGCGAAATTTCCCCTACGGAAATTTCTCCGCAAAATTTTCTCTACGGAAATTTCTCCGCGAAATTTCCCCTACGGAAATTTCTCCGCAAAATTTCTCCTACGGAAATTTCTCGGGGGCGAAATTTTCGTTGGGAGAAATTCTGGAAGAGAAATTTAGCTCTAGAACCTGCTGATTCCTGGACTTATTCTCGTTACTTTATCATTGACTGGTACCAAAAATGGCTTCTGCATTTATCTGGAGTTTCTACTGGATAGATTAAATTAATTCATGTATATTTTCGTCTTTTTTTCAATGTAGACCGTCCACTTTTGGTATATTTCGGACACCAATAAAGATAGCTCAAACTAGTCCGTATCTTCCGTATCTTCATTATTTAACTGCCGTTCAGCAGTTAAATTGGTTAACAATTTGAAAACTCCTCGAGCACACGCTATAGCGGGTATTCATTACCGATAAGCACAACCCATGCCGTTGTTTTTCTTTTTTTTTATCAGACAGCGAAGTTTCAAATAATAGGACATTGCGCTTGGCTCGTGTAAAATAATTATCAGTAATCTAGTATGGTTGGAACATCGAAACAACCAAGACGTTCATCTAAGATGAGGAAGACAAAGGGAAAGATCTATCTATTTCTGGTATTTGGGCTGATACTCCATCAGCATCTAGTCTCAGGAATAATACCAGGACTGATGATCGTGTATGACGTATTCGATAAACTTAATAATATCCACGACGTCCACGCGAAATTCTCAACACCTTCATCAGCTGATCTCATGAATGCCACCGAGCAGTTGTCCGCAAAGATTGATAAATTGGTGCCTGAAATAACAGCCCATATTGACAAAGCTGTTGACACTCTGCTGACACGTCTGCCACTTCTCGGTGAACTCTCCGGTGATATAAGAACATTGAACAATCACGTTGGAAAAATTGATAGATTCTATTACGAAATGAAACTGTACCTCCAAAAACCCGATTGGTACAGCGAAAAGGATTTGCGCGAGTTGCTGAAGATCTTCACGTCTCGGGATAGTGGACAAATTCTTGATGTCATTGGGGAGATGAGATCTCTGATTGTGCCGGACAAATTGTCAGCATTGAAAAAAAACGTCTTTCAACTTCTCGCTGAAGAGACACAAGTCAGCCATCAATATAATTTCACTGGTATATCAGAAATTAAGTTAATGTTAAATTAATAAACTATTAATTTTGATCTAGGGATGGGGTCTTAGTGTCTGCGACACGTACGCCCCACCTCAGCAGCGCTTGCTCGACCTGTACGAAACGGTTGTTGATTCAGAGATACGAGCTTTCCTGATGGCTTGCTTTGGTTACAAAATGGAAGATTACTTGAACAATGGTGTGGTTAAACAATTATTATCACAGTGCAATGTGAATTGTTATTATTTCGATTTCTTTTAGACAATTCGACCGGTCGTTTGGAGAGAACTAAATTCGGATTTGAGACGAGGATCGCGGAATACGAGAAAGTTGTTAGAAATGCTATGAAGATTGTCCCCAGAGAGTTCAGACGGTGCGATCCAGACACTGGCTATGAAAAAAGTATTTGTCCTTTTAAATAATGATGTTTATCAACAGTCTAATCATCTACAATTGAAATCTGTTATTTCAGATGTCAATTACTACCGATTGGATCAATTTAGATACGATGCTCCCTTATATGCCGTGACTCTACGATCCTTTGAATCAGATATAAATAACAACATGTAAGATTAATTTTTATATTCAGAGAAAACAACTTTTTGCTATCACGGAACAAGCCCCCCCCCCCCTCATATTCAACAACTTGAAATAATCTTTCAGGGTTGTCACCGGACTTGCATTCGTAGTAAAAAATAATGTCCTGACATTTCGAATGGAAACAGCGAAGCTCAATATATCTGGCAACCTGGACGATAGCACGGCATTTTGGCAAGAGCCAGAAGACATCGCCTGGAACTCCGAGAAATCGACTTTCATCCTTAATGATGAATTGGGCCCCATTGAAATGAGAAACGACATAGACATCGCTTATATCGCCGGAAGTAACAAGAGGATATATCTGGATAATCCCGTTGCACCAGCGGGTTCTGTGGTCACTGGTGCTGACACTTCCCGTTAGCGGTCAAATAAGTTAAATACTTAAATATTCATTTTTCAGGTGTACGATTTGGAAGACTGTACAGAGATCACTTGAAACCCCTGCAGCTACAGATTCGAGTAACGCCTATTGATTATGACAGGGGCATTGTCTCTGGTGATTCCAAGTGGATATCAGAGCAGCCACTCAGAAGGTACTCCATCGTCTCCATCGTCTACATCGTCTCCATCGTCTCCATCTTCTCCATCGTCTCCATCGTCTCCATCTTCTCCATCGTCTCCATGGTCTCCATCGTCGCCATCGTCTCCATCGTCTCCCTCGTTTCCATCGTCTCCATCGTCTCCATCGTCTCCATCATTTCCATCATTTCTATCATTTCCATCATCTCCATCATCTCCATAATTCTCAAAATACTAAACCCCAATTTAATTAGATTGATGACGTGATAATTACAAGCACTCATTTTGTAGAACTGCTTTTAAGGAAGACAGCAAACTACCGGCTAATGAAATGCGAACATCAATAGACGGAGGACCCGACGGTTTTGTTGATTTCGATTGGAGCACAGGGCCCCTAATACCTTTTTTCGATGGACTTCCAGTAACCTCTGAACCCCGCACACCCCTAGGAGGCATTGGATTGTACCGCAAAAAAGCTAAAGATTATACTGGATTCCTCACCTTTATCTTCACGGGTTTCGATAAGTCTGCGTACAAAATCGATAACAGCGGAATCCAATATTAAATTATTCTGCATTATTGTACAACAATACTTCATCATTATCCAATTGATTATCTGACGTATCTAAGGTATTGTACCAAAAACTTGTAAAAATCATTTGAAAATAAAAATTCAATTTATTTTTACGTCAACAAACTGCGCACTAGAACACGACAATTTAGGGGGAGAATTGAAGAGACTGAAGCAATTATGATATCGATAAGAAGTCCAATTATCAAGAAAATTGAAATGACATACTTCCCTCATGTCTTCAGTGCATGCAGTTCTTCCCTGAATTTCTTCGATAGACCATCGACAATATTGTAACAATGGGAAAATTATCGAAGGGTATTATTATTCTACTGGTACTTGGCGTTATGATTCATCAGTATCAGGTGCATTGTTTATTAACACTGGCAATTGATCTACTGAGTTTTGCCTGGAGTACATTGGAAAAAATCAACGCAGTTCATGACGTGTACGGCAAAGTGTCAACCCCTTCGACCGCCGAGTTAATGCAAAAGAGCGTTGAAATAGCCGATTCGATTGATAAATTGGGGGTGAAGCTTGAGGAGAAGATCCAGCAATCGATGGATACACTTTTGAGTCGTTTACCACTTTTGAGCGACATAAGCGCTAATGTTGGAACGCTCAATGAGTATGTGACAAGAATTGATGCATTATATAGAGACATGAATCATTATTTGAGAAAGCCTGAGGACTTCAGTGATTATTCCCTGCAGACTCTTCTGAAGAGTGCAACTTCAAGCGATGGAGATGACGTAGACGCAATACTTGCTCTGATTAGTGGTCTCATCAATCCCAAAGGATTAGGATCCTTCAAAGAAAGTCTATTCGTTCTTCTCGCTAAGGAAACGCAGGTCAATATTCTTTTATCTTTTATCGAATATATTCATGTGTATTGACTTTATTTTTGCTGATACAGGAATACGCTCTAGACGTTTGCGGCACAGGGGCACCACCCCAGCAACGTCTTGTCGAACTTTTCGATATTATTATTGAAACGGAAATGAGAGGATTCGCTCTACTGGGTTTTGGTTACATGATGAAAAGCTACATGGAAAATAGTGAGTATGAATTATCGAAAAAAATCTGTCGGAGCGCTAAATAATAATGGATTATTTCAGCGAGTTATATTGGAGATGTCAGGAGAGCTGAAGGTAAATTGGAAACTAGAGCTGCTGAATATGTGCTATTGCTCAAGTCATCAATGTCCAAAGCAACAACACAATTTCGTAATTGTGATCCGCTCGAGGGAAATGAGCGAGGTCTGCTAGAATCTAATTACAATTAAGTCTAATTACAATTAAGTCTAATTACAATTTATAGTTATTCAGAGGGAATTTGTTTTCGTTGCAGGTGTGACATTTATTGAATTTGAAAAATTTCTGCAAGCTTTTATCACCCAGGAAGGGGTGTTTAGAGTGGATCATCGGTGCCCGGCGACCTGCGGTAATTACGGCAGTTACACGAGATCATTTTACGGATGCAGAGGATTTGAATGCACTGAATCACCGACTTCGTGTTTCGGATGGCTAGTTAACTGTAGATCTATGAAATACCTTGCCAGCGCTTGTGAATATGACGTGAGTTTGGTTTTATTCTTGTTTTATTTGTTGGATAGCATTTTTGGATTAGCTAGGAAGGGGAACAGGATAATTCTCGATATAATTTTTACAAGAAAATTTACTGAAAAAATGGATAGTCCAGACCGGGATTTGAACCTGGGACCTTCCGATTATGCATCGGGTGCTCTTCCAACTGAGCTATCCGGCTCCTATACTGAAGTCAGCATAAGTTTTAACATTGATTTTAGGAGTGGGGGACATGGTTACAAGTGGTAACTACGTGGAGTGGGGGTACCCAGAGAAGTAAAAACTTATGCTGACTTTAGTATAGCCATTTCACAATTCTTGTATGTATCGAGCACCGCGTCCTTCATACGGCTTCCACATTTTTTCCATAGAAGAGGGGAAGTTTTTCTAGCGTTCCACATTTTTGTGACGTCAAAGGAGTCGTTGGATAGGATTTTCATTGATTGGAGGGATTTTAGGGCACGGAGGTGAGGCGTTATAAATGGTTCAAGGATGGTGATGGCAAAGTACAAGGTGTAATGACCGATGGATGTCCGTCGCCGGGGAAAAGGGTCTATGGATTTAAAGTAACGTATGAGGAGACTGATTGTGACCTGTGCAGGTGCATTTGTGTGCAAGATACTGCCAGGTCTAATGCCACTCATTTCCTCAGCTTGCAAGAACAAGTCACTAATGTGGAAGACAACATGTAAGTTCACCTCGATCGAGGAAAAAATTAGGAGACGGGCATTTCATCTCGTACACGGAGAGAAATATTCAAGAAAAATTACCGAACATTTCACGTAATCAGCGACGCAATCATCACATAAATTCTACGATCTATTCTGTAAAAATTACTCATCCATCTGACGCTTCACGGCTTGAATATCCAATAATTTTTCTGTTCTGAGGCATAATAACTCTTGAAGTTCCATTCGATTTTAAAAGGTCTAAATTCATTCCCTGAAAACGATTCTCGCTGGCGGATTACGTGAAATGTTCCGTAATTTTTCTTGAATATTTCTCTCCGTGTATATGCGGCATTCTATGTCCAAACGGATAACATTTAGATTTTGCATCTCCAATTTTTTTTTCAATTTTCTCATGTCGTCGGTTGAAAGATATCGATTTTTGAAAATGAAAGATCCCATTGTTATCTCATTGAGAAATTAGTCTTAAAATTTTTTCGTAAATCATCAATTCGAATTTAATATTTGAAAATGCTATAGAGATACGGTTCTGATAATTTTTTTTATTTATTTATTTCTCCGAAAAGGACATTCAGAAATAAAAATTTCAACATAAAAAACCACCGATTTGGTGAATTTTTTCGCAAAGTTATGGGCATTAAAAAAAAATATTAAATTGATATCTCGAAAGCACAAAATGTGAAATATATTTAATAACCAAAGGACAAAATTTCAGGGTAATAACTGGATTGCAATTCGTGGTGATAAACCGAGTAGTTCACCTGAAGATTATGCAGAGTCAAATTACAAATGACACCGAAATCGTCGCTAACAGCACCTCTTGGGTGGAGCCAGAAGAATTCATATTCGATCAAGCGAAGAGCATGAAATATGAAGTATTCCACATGTACAAGAACTTGGAAAACGGCGAGAGAGAAGAACTGAAGAGATATGAGGACTATTACGTTCTTAATTATGAAAACAGGCGATTCTGTCTAGATCGAATGATGGCACCAACTGGATACATTGTTACTGGTATGATAAATAAACAATTTATTTTTAATCCGCAGTACAACAGATTTTCGCGTTTAGGTGTGAAGTTCGATTACAATCCCCAATTCGAATCGAAATCTCTCAAATTGAAAATACGGGGGACACGTTTCGATGCAGAGACGAATCAACTGGATCCAGAATCCAGCATTTGGCTGGACCCTGAGGACATGCCGTATGCAAAAGGTGTCGAAACCAGGTAGAATAAACGAATAAAAAATATCTTAGTAGTATGAGTAATTAGTTCAGTGACAAATAATTCAATAATTATTATTTAACATTCAGAGAGGAGCACGATTATGAAGGCTGGGACAATCCAACTAAATCATCAAACACTCTAGTGGATTCTAGGCCTTATACTTATATAGATGTGGATTGGAGTAGTTATGCATTTGATGCAGCACAAACAACAATACCATTGCTAGATGCCATGCCGATATTTTCAGATCCAATTGTTCCTTTGAGAGGAGTGGGTTTGTACCACAAGAGACAAGTTCGACACGCCGGATTTTTGACTCTAGTACTGGAAGCCATTGACAGAAGTCCCTACATAAAACTTAATTACGTTAAGAAATCGAATGCAACTGAATAGAATTTCCATTCAATTCAGAATTAGAACTTTCCAGAAAATTTACATTTAAATTTACAAAATTACATCTTGACGATTGAGGAAAGAAGAGTTCTACGGTCTTCTGTTATTTTCGCCTGTCGCAAACTATCGATATTCATTGAATATACCAAAATTATTCAATTAAATTGATAATAATTCTTTTTTTTAACCCCGATAATCCCTCCTACTTATACCACTTGTTCTAGAAATAACAATAACTTCCCTATCCTGAGAAGTTAAAAAACAACGTTATCTATTTGGATTAAACGCGAACACGTGTCTGCTATCAACAAGAAAAGGAAAATATCGTATCGCCATTGCGTTTCGATAATTGTTTTTCCCTTGGACTTCATAACCGATTCCTCGAAATATTATCGAAGAGTTCATGCAAAATAACTACAAAGAGATGCGTCTGACACAATTTCCACCTTAAATTCTCCCTAGAGAATAAATAATCTGGAATTTACGAAACGATTGTATCAGGACCTGTGGAAAAATATTGTATATTTAGAGAATAATAAATTGATGTAGCAGATTTGGTTTGGAATATTGAAATGGCGTTGGAATATGGAATCGAGTAGAATCTATCACTCGGGTAATTGTTGCTGATTGCATTGTCACTGTCGTAGTAATAAATTCCCTAACAATGCAACAATTCATCCTTATGATAGTTCCATTCAATAACAACGCCCATATCAGCCCCCGCTCTCATATGCCACCGCAGTTCTTCCACTTGCACTGCTCCATCTATTACTTCAAATTGCTTCGTTCACGCTCACGGGGTATTTACCACCAAGTACTTTTTCACTCGATAATGGCACCGACGTCCGGACACCCAAGTAAAGGTGAGACGCCAAAAATACATATATACTGTACATAGAGAGGCAAATGTGTGACAATATTTGTCGAGAAAAAATTCACACCCATTTGTATCCGCAACTCGGCGAATTCACTCTATCTTTTGCCAATCATTTTACGATGTGTTACACCTCACAGATACTATTCAATTGCCATTGAACAGCCTAAATTTATAAAATCTCCAGGAATGCATAGTAGACGGGAATTTTTTATAGCGTTCCACATTTTTCTGACGTCAAAGGAGTCGTTGGATAGGATTTGGATTAGGTAGGAAGGGGAACAGGATTATTCTCGATATAATTTTTACAAGAAAGATTACTGAAAAAATGGATAGTCCAGACCGGGATTTGAACCCGGGACCTTTCGATTATGCATCGGGTACTCTCCCAACTGAGCTATCCGGCTCCTAGCCATTCCTTGCGCTGTTTTTTATTTCAGTTATTGTTTAAATTCTTTATAATGCATTGAGCGTAAAAACATGATATCCACTCAACAATTGTTTCTTTTTCTTTTGTTTAGCAGACAACGTATCGAAATGGTTACTAGGCGTTTTTTTTTTCAATTTTTTTTCCATTTTGTCTTTTGTCCGTTATTTTTCAACGTGTGCAACTAATCACGGATTTGTAAATTCCCATCGCTTCCACTCCATTATAATCGGATTAGGGGGTTATTGGTGGACCTAGTGGAGATTATTACGTGAATATTTCCAGTGGACAATGACGAGATCCGACAGCAGAGGAAATAAATAAATAAGTGGAAATAATTAGGAGGGAATTATAAGCTGTAAAAAAGTGCTCATTTGCTTCCAGAGAACATGTTTAATAAATATCTGGAAAAATAAATGGGACCCATTCATAAATAGCGATAAATAATAAAGAAAATATTCACGGTATAATAATTAATAATAAAATTATATGATATTGATAATTGTTTAAAATTATTATTTATGAATATTTTATATATATTTGGGTTGATTTGAGATGTATGATGCTCTTCGTTAATTATTTGAGAATTTATGGAATATTGTGTATTTTAATAAAAATATTTTTTAACGGTGGGTGTTGACCACTGAGAGTGGCCACACTGAGGTCAAGCAACAAATAAATTCCACGGGCATCTCCCCTGGGCAAATAGATCCGATTAAATGAACGTAAACCAACCTGACCGCGTACAAGCCCTCGGCGTCTTCAGGCCGAGTAATTAATTTAATTACAACGATTGAAGGGTCATACGGTTCTCGATAACAACATTTCATGACTCTTTTCTTTTCTTCGGTGAAAAGTGATCATGTGACGAGACCATTTTGTTCTATACAACGAATTTTTTCCGTTAGGACTCGGGTGGACTCCATTATCCAACACTTTCCCCTAAAAAATACAAAAAGTCATTGAACTTTTCCCGGCAAAATTATTTTTTTTTAATTCTCAAAACCTTATTATTATTTTTTCGATAACCCCCTGAGACTTGAACAATTGATGCCAGAAAATTCACAAAGATATATGATACACAGGTCTCAATCAATCAGGATTGTTGAACAATGGCGCTATGGGGGTCGAGCGGCCGAAGGGGGTGGACAGGGTGGACAGGGTGGACAGGGTGGACAGGGTGGACAGGGTGGAGTGGGTGGAGGAGGTGGAGGAGGTGGATGGGGCACGTGAAAATACGAAAGGCAAACCGATTTGGCATGGAGTTTCGCAGCCGATAACGGGTTTCCAGTTTCACGTTGGGATAATACACCACTCTCGCTCTCTGTTCCCGACGATAGGTTTAATCGCAATCGAAAATTACGAGGGTGTTATAGAGGTACAGTGAGAACGGTATTGCACAAGGCACTTTCGTATGGGTCTCTTTTGTTGAGTACGATACTGTCGCATCGAGGTGTTTTCATGTACAGTCGGTATGTATAATTCTCCATTGAATGGGTAAAGTTACTCTGCTAACGATGTTAACTCCCTCCCCCCTCCCCCCTTCTTCCCCCTCATCACCCTACCACTCCCCCGCAATTTTCTATCGTAATTACCGTGGAAATACGATTAGTCCTGGGATTATGAGGTCATAACATCAAAATGTCGGAGGAAAAGACGATTATGCTTTCACGTGTCGTTTCAATTTGATGAGACGACTGATATTGGTTCGTCTAGTGAAGCCAATAAATTATTCATTGGTTATCGGCGTTGTAAATGCTTTTATTTCGCCTCATCTGGGCATTGAGAATTTATCGGCTCGCACTTTATGGGATCGCATAATTCTAAGGTAATGATTAGGGAAGACATTCAAGTGCCATTCTACATCCATCTGAAGCTATCAATTTCGTATTGGAAATTTTGACGGGATTCTCGAGCTTTTCAATTTCAATTTTCCTGTATTACTTAATACGCGAATAATATCCAATTTTTTAACTGAAAAAAATTGATAATCCTTAAAAATTTGCAATGAAATTGCGAATAAAATCCGGTAATTATTTTTATTTTCCGTGTAATTATCGTAATGAGGAGAGATTTTTATTGAATTTTTATATTCATAAACTCCGGTAGGTGAGAGATTTTTTTTGCTGTTGCAGTATTTTTTGCTGAATTAAGAAAAATTTATCATGATTTGCTGCTGATAATTACAATTCTCAGCACGACAGCACGCGCAATGAGGGTAATTCAAGTGGGAATAGCGATAATCGGTGGCACTGCGTGACTTTAAAATAAAATTCACCGAGATATACATCCAGTTCTAGAGAGATCAGCGATTGAAGTTGATCAGCTCCTAACGGATCAGTAATTCCACGGATTAAAAAAGAAAAGTAATTACGGGAGTGAACTTGTTAAAAATGGAAACAACATTATGCGTAAATTGAGTGAGTGAATAAAAAAAAATTCAATAAAATCCAAGAGGAACAGTGACTAAACTTTTGCCATCAAGATTCAACTCGATGAATATTCAACCGAATGAAATATGTTTTTCACATTCCAAACGGACTCGAATAATCATCACCCCTTTAAAACCCATTCGTCTCGTACCAGACACTTGATACCGTGACTAATATCTTTTCCAATCCGTAATTCAGTTAATTTAGTCCTCCAACGATCGTTCAAACGACTCCAGATGTATCTCGTCACACGTGCACAACACGAGCATTAAATTTCACGAGTACATCCCTCACAACGACTTGGAAATACGCCAATAAAATTTACAAATATATAATGGCACGTTAATTTTATTTTTTTTACCATCAGCCAAACTCGACAGTTATTTACGATCAGATCACGGAGAGAAATTTGGATGAAAAATTCGTACCA